AGTACCACACAGCTTATAAAGAGAGTAACTGATCGAGTACCACACAGCTTATAAAGAGAGTAACAGTACCACACAGCTTATAAAGAGAGTAACTGATCAAGTACCACACAGGTTATAAAGAGAGTAACTGATCGAGTACCACACAGCTTAGAAAGAGAATAACTGAGTACCACACAGCTTATAAAGAGAGTAACTGAGTACCACACAGCTTATAAAGAGAGTAACTGATTACTGTACAGTAGTAACAGTTAATGATGACACGTCACCTACCCAATCTTCAGTATAGCTGACAAGACAGATACAGGGCCAGATATCTTACACGTAGTTGAGAAGAAACAGGAAAACCTTTAGATGGATTCTCCATGTAAAATAATTTCAAATAAATCTAATTTCATCTTTGATCTTTTAAAGTACATTAAATTTGGATTTTAAATGAAATGTTGCACGTTTTAGCCGTGATGACGGGATAAGTAAGATGATAAAATCCAATGTATTTCAGTGTCAAGTAACATGAAACTGCGTCAGCAATTGACATTGGAATTAAAACACATAACTTGTCACCTCCAATTTAGAAAACCTCAGATACAAAACATTCTAAACTGCCATATTTGCGTATTGATGTGACCGGAGCTTGAGTTGCAGCAATAAATAGTAAAATCGCACGGAGGCCTTTAACTTGTGGCATAGTGAACAGCCATCTGCAGGTCTGATTGCTGTTGGCATATGATTTGAATGTTAATGGTCACCGATAAAACAGCTTTATCTTTTTCAGGCTCTGTTGCTTTCCGTACTCTGGCGCTTTTTTGATGAACGGCAAAACCGTTTGAATTCCAATGACAACCAATACGATTAAGTCAATGACCATTTCTGCCTCTGCCATGGCCCGGTGTGAACATGAACGGTCTGGTATAGAGCTTTCCCGCTATGATTAATAGACAGAGCTGTGACATTCCTGACTTTTAGGCCAGTTTCTAGGCCAACAAACTTTGTTTATTTTCCATTATTTCCTCCCTGATTATCCCAGATAATTGTTATAGGCTCCGACATTTTGATTCAATTTAAATCTAAACGATAAGAATATCAACATAGGCACATCTCATAAATCCAGGACTATCAAATCGGAAATTACAAAATATATCTCTGGACGTTTATTTATGTACTTGTTCTAGACAGCAGTAAAAAAGGAGAGAAAATGTTGGAAAGGGAAGGGACGCCAATAATTATATCCTGCATTTTATGACAACAGATTATTATTTTACAGCCTCCTACTGACGTCACTGTCGACAAATAAGGAAGGTATAATTTTAAATAAATATCCCCAGAGAGAATGAATGAGTGTCAGAAATATAGCATAAAACTTCAGTGAAAAGGCCAAATCTATAAACACATACTGCCTACCTAGTACTACAGCGTTCATACCTTTTCATGGGATTTCAAATACATTTTATGTACGTTGTTTGACACCTCTGGATAGAAAGATAAAAAGTGAAACATATACCCCATATAGCGTTGACATTACAACATTGGAGATTGAAGCCTCATTATTTTTTGTCACAAATAATGCATTAAACAGATTTAAATAATTCACAATAGAAAAATAAAGATATAAGAATAATAAGAAAGAGGAATTGAATCTGTCAATTAATTCTGTCAATGTTTATTTGGTTTGCCCTGCTGTTCAGATTCAGCAAATTAAAACCTCACAAATATTTTACTACATTTAAACAAAGATAGAAAAAGAGATTGACAGATAGACAACCTGATTCATGTATACCCATATGTTCAAAATAAATTACCCTACAGTAATTACATAAATATGATTCTACACATGTACAATGCAGGTCGAAGCTAAGCACTGTGAAATCACTGTGAAGTTACGATTCATACATTTTGATATCTAACAATTATTTAACTTCCACAATATTTCATTTAAAAAGAACAAGAGGCCCAGAGGGCCTGTATCCCTCACCTGAATATGTTTAAAATATTGGTATGAAGTAAAGATATAGCACTCCATGGTAGGTGCTGTAAGTACATATGAAATTTCAGAAAGATCCATCCAGTACTTGAGATATAGCGAGAACAAACTTCAAACAGAGCCCAACCCCTACCCTTGGTCCAAGGATGCTCCAGACTAAATACGGATAAAATCCCTTAATCCCGATGGTCGAAGAAGGATTTTAAAGGTTTTACCTCTATTTCTCCTGTTGGGCCGATCCAGAGGGGTTTTTTGGGCTTCAGGAACCCCCCCCGCCCCTGAGAATTTTCTTTAAAAATCATGTATTTTCACCGGTTTCCTCAATTTTTCCCCACATGGAAACCCCCCAGGAAATTTGGAAACCCCCCCAGATAGGTCTCTGGATCTGCCACTGGGCCCCGCGCTTCTGCCCCCTGGGAGACCACACCCACTGCTTATACAAAATTGAGTCCCCTTGGCCCAAGGATGTGCCAGACTAAATTAGGATAAAATTCCTTAATCCCCATGATAGAAGAAGGATTTTAAAGGTATTACCTCTATTTCCCCTATTGGGCCCCGCTTCTCTGCCTCCGGGGGTGGGGGGGTGGGGGTAGACATACTGTTTATACAAAATTGGTTCCCCATCACCCAATGATGCTTCTGGACAAAATCCTGTCATTCGTACAGAAGAAGGTATTTGAAGAATTTGCTGCTTCCCCTATTGGGCCCCTCCCTTCTGCACCCAGGGGCGCCACACTCGCTGTTTAAACGAAATTGAGTCCCTTTTGCCCAAGGATGCTCCAGACTAAATTAGGATAAAATCCCTTAATCCATATGGTAGAAGAAGGATTATAAAGGTTTTACTTCTATTTCCCCTATTGGGCCCCACCCCTCAGGTCCCAGGGGGGCCACACCCACCGTTTATACAAAATTGGTTCCCCTTTACCCAAGGATGCTTCACACCAAATATGGACCAAATCCTTTTATTCCTACAGAAGAAGGATTTTAAAGAACACTTTGCTATGTTTCCCCTATTGGGCCCTGCCACTCAGGCCCCTGGGGGGCCAGACCCACGGTTTATACAAAATTGGTTCCCCTTCACCCAAGGATGCTCCACACCAAATATGGACCAAATCCTTTCATTCCTACAGAAGAAGAGGGATATTAAAGAATTTGCTATATTTCCCCTATTGGGCCCCGCCCCTCAGCCCCCAGAGGGGCCAGACCCACCGTTTATACAAAATTATTTCCCCTTCACCCAAGGATGCTCCACACCAAATATGGACCAAATCCTTTCATTCCTACAGAAGAAGAGGGATTTTAAAGAATAGTTTGCTATATTTCCCCTATTGGGCCCCACCCCTCAGCCCCCAGGGGGGCCAGACCCACCATTTATACAAAATGTGTTCCCCTTTCCCCAAGGATACTCCACACCAAATATGGATCAAATCCTTTCATTCCTACAGAAGAAGAAGGATTTTAAAGAATTTGCTATATTTCCCCTATTGGGCCCCATCTTCAGCCCCCAGGGGGGCCACACCCATCATTTATACAAAATTGAGTCCCCTTGGCCTAAGGATACTCCAGACCAAATTTAGTCAAAATCTGTTTGGCCGTTCAGGACTAGTAGCGCTTTAAAGGAAAGGTTGACGGACTGACGGACGACGGACGCTGCGGTATGGCATAAGCTCACCATGGTCCTTCGGAGCTAAAAAAAACCCTATCTGAATGTTAATTTTCACTAATGTCAACTTTGTTTGAATAGGAAATTCTCAATTCTCCATGAAGGGCCTGAAATATTGTGTGGCGTGTGACGAGAGTGTTTGCAGGTATGGTTTTCTTTTTCACGGAAGCCTGGTCAGACACAACCTATCATGATTTGACCTTCAAAAGTCAAGGTTTCAAAATTCACATACAATTGATTTCATTTCAGTTTAAAATAAAATTCTAAAATAGTGCTGTTCATTTTATAAGAAATATTTTAAAAAGCTGAAAATATATTTTTTAACCATGTTGAACTTCTTAAAATTATTCACTTAATTATCAGTTTTATACTTGAATGGACACCTGGTATGTATTGTGAAAACAAGAGGCCAAGAGGGCTTGTATCACTCACCTGGATAATAAAGAAACCATGGAGATTTTTCTTATTATATGTAATACTGCAAATATTTCAAAATACTGGCTCTGTCTCCCAGCAACACTGATTTTAATCACTAACCTCAATAATCACTTTCGGGCCCTCCCCTCTGCCCCTGAATGCAACCTTCTATAAATACAAAATTGGGTCCACTTTGCCCAAGGAGACTTTACCCAAAATTGTTTTAAATCCCTCAAATGGTACATAAGAACAAGGATTTTAATCATTTATTACTACATTCCCCCTATTGGGCCTCACCCCTCTGCCCCTACGGCGGCCACACTCTCCCTTTAACTAAAATTGGGTCCCCATTGCCCAAGGATGCTCTGAACCTAACTTGGACAAAATCCCTCCGATGGTACATAAGAAGAAGGATTTGAAAAATTTGCTTCAATTTCCCCTATTAGGCCCCTCTGCACCATAGGAGCCACATCCTCTGATTATTAAACAACATAAAATGGTATGTATTTGAAACTGGGTTTTGTTTTCTTTGGAAAGCATTCCTTCCTGTCATCAATTTGTTCCACCATCGGAATGAGATTCGGCAACTACAGCCTCCAGCACTCATCAATACTACCAAATCTTCTGTACATAAGATGTCACCATATTTTGTGTACAGTTTGAAGGTGAATTTGCCCAATCCAGTGTTTTTTTAAGTTATCGGTTTCAATATAAGTTTACATCCTTAATTTCAAGTCATACATTTGTCATTAAAATCCATGAAAAATTTGAACAGTTTTAAGACTGTTTTACTGACAAGGCAAGAAATTACACTGTGAATTGATGCCAAACTATACAAATACAGAGACACTTACCAGCAATTACATTGTCTGTGCCACCTATGTTCACAGCTTCAATCAGTTTCTTGTTTAACTGAAAGAGTGAAAAAATAACATTGTAAGATAAGTACCAGATCCATTATTTACAGCCTATTGGACCCTGTCTGTACTGAAAAAAGGTATAACAAAAAAATCAGCAAAAGGGATGGATTATATACTCCCCAAAAAGGTCAACAAGACTGAAATAAAATGTGACCTCAATTTGATAGTAATTTGGTGAAGGGACCATTTATTGCGTTTTAGTGATTTGGTGAAGGGACCATTTATTACGTTTTAGTAATTTGGTGAATGGACCATTTATTGCGTGATAGTACAGTTGTGCGATAACAATCGTGGTTGGCGTAAATTGGGGAATGCCTTAACAATATATACGGGTTCGTGTTTAAACATATAAACTTGATTTTTAAGTATGTTTCTATATTCTTCCTACATCTATAAGCTTATCTTATGTCTATACTTTCTTAAATTAGAAATTTTCGGTATATTTTAAACGGCCTTAATCAACACATGTGAAATTACAACACAGTCCCGTATACAGGTAAACATAGCCACTTTGTACATTTACCTGGACCGTAGATTTCCCCCGCTGGGGCGCTTACGTATTTCGTCGGGTAGGGCCAGGGGTGTGAAAACCCAGGTGAAGGGGAGCTGTAGGCAAACCAAATGCAAATTACAAATACTACACGTCCAGTTGTGTTTTCATTATGGTCATACGGTATCACATATCAGCTCTATGTGTCAGGCACAGGCCAGGTAAAACTCTGGTCACTCATCAAATTGTTATTAACCTGTTCTGTTACCTTGGAGCCAAACCCATTCAACAGTCACTGTAATGCTGTGTTACATGCATTGTAAAACTGTACATAATCTTCATAACTGTGATGAGTAATTACAGTAATACATACAGTTTTCATTATTGCATACAAGCTTTCCGTATTTTTTTCATTCCGTAATATTGATCTTCAAATTGAACCTAATCGCACAGTTGTGCGGAGAGAAGCGCATAACAGGGCGAACGATTGTTAAATCGCACAGTTGTGCGCACCATGTGTGGACGATGTGCGGACGGTGTGTGAACGATGTATGCACGGTGTGCGCACGCCATTTTTCGTGCGTTGTGTGGTCACACAACTGTAATTTGGTGAAGGGATCATTTATTGTGTGATAGTAATTTGGTGAAGGGACCATTTATTGTGTGATAGTAATTTGGGGAAGGGACCATTTATTGTGTGATAGTAATTTGGTGAAGGGACCATTATTTGTGTGCCAGCGTTTCAGTACAGACCCTGGTATGATGAACCCTCTACCTGGTGTGGTGTTGTCAGGCTTCCCTGACCTTGGTTTTGTCTGGAGAACTGGTAGTAATACTATTATGCAGATTGTGACTGGAATATTTACAGACAATGATCTGTTGGGGACCTCGGAGAAATAGGAGACACATTCTGCTGACACCAGAGTATACCATTATAACGTAGACTTATTATTCTAATCATGACAGAACACATGAGGTCTTGAGACCACACCAATTGAGAGATATCAAGGACAATGTCACAAACATGGTTATAACATAAACTAATAGAAAATAACTCAAATAACCAGGTCAGTGAAATTCAAAGTATAGAACAGTCAAATGTCACAGATATGATGGTGTCAAGGTCACTGGTATGGAACAGTCAGATGTCACAGATATGATGGTGTCAAGGTCACTGGTATGGAACAGTCAGATGTCACAGATATGATGGTGTCAAGGTCACTGGTATGGAACAGTCAGATGTCACAGATATGATGGTGTCAAGGTCACTGGTATGGAACAGTCAGATGTCACAGATATGATGGTGTCAAGGTCACTGGTATGGAACAGTCAGATGTCACAGATATGATGGTGTCAAGGTCACTGGTATGGAACAGTCAGATGTCACAGATATGATGGTGTCAAGGTCACTGGTATGGAACAGTCAAATGTCACAGATATGATGGTGTCAAGGTCACTGGTATGGAACAGTCAAATGTCACAGATATGATGGTGTCAAGGCCACTGTGTGGAACAGTCAAATGTCTCAGATATGATGGTGTCAAGATCATTGGTATGGAACAGTCAAATGTCACAGATATGATGGTGACAAGGTCACTGGTATGAAACAGTCAATGTCATTGGTATGGTGAATTGTCAAGGTCAATGGAATAGACAAGTCAAGGTCGCAAGTATGGAAGACCAGGTCACTGGTATGGAACAGTCAAATGTCACAGGTTTGGAAGTCAAGATCACTGGTATGGAACAGTCAAGATCACTGGTATGGAACAGTCAACGTCACTGGTATGGAACAGTCAAGATCACTGGTATGGAACAGTCAACGTCACTGGTATGGAACAGTCAAGGTCACTGGTATGGAACAGTCAAGGTCACTGGTATGGAACAGTCAAGGTCACTGGTATGGAACAGTCAACGTCACTGGTATGGAACAGTCAAGGTCACTGGTATGGAACAGTCAAGGTCACTGGTATGGAACAGTCAAGGTCACTGGTATGGAACAGTCAACGTCACTGGTATGGAACAGTCAAGGTCACTGGTATGGAACAGTCAAGGTCACTGGTATGGAACAGTCAAGGTCACTGGTATGGAACAGTCAAGGTCACTGGTATGGAACAGTCAAGGTCACTGGTATGGAACAGTCAAGGTCACTGGTATGGAACAGTCAAGGTCACTGGTATGGAACAGTCAAGGTCACTGGTATGGAACAGTCAAGGTCACTGGTATGGAACAGTCAAGGTCACTGGTATGGAACAGTCAAGGTCACTGGTATGGAACAGTCAAGGTCACTGGTATGGAACAGTCAAGGTCACTGGTATGGAACAGTCAAGGTCACTGGTATGGAACAGTCAAGGTCACTGGTATGGAACAGTCAAGGTCACTGGTATGGAACAGTCAAGGTCACTGGTATGGAACAGTCAAGGTCACTGGTATGGAACAGTCAAGGTCACTGGTATGGAACAGTCAAGGTCACTGGTATGGAACAGTCAAGGTCACTGGTATGGAACAGTCAAGGTCACTGGTATGGAACAGTCAAGGTCACTGGTATGGAACAGTCAACGTCACTGGTATGGAACAGTCAAGGTCACTGGTATGGAACAGTCAAGGTCACTGGTATGGAACAGTCAAGGTCACTGGTATGGAACAGTCAAGGTCACTGGTATGGAACAGTCAAGGTCACTGGTATGGAACAGTCAAGGTCACTGGTATGGAACAGTCAAGGTCACTGGTATGGAACAGTCAAGGTCACTGGTATGGAACAGTCAAGGTCACTGGTATGGAACAGTCAAGGTCACTGGTATGGAACAGTCAAGGTCACTGGTATGGAACAGTCAAGGTCACTGGTATGGAACAGTCAAGGTCACTGGTATGGAACAGTCAAGGTCACTGGTATGGAACAGTCAAGGTCACTGGTATGGAACAGTCAAGGTCACTGGTATGGAACAGTCAAGGTCACTGGTATGGAACAGTCAAGGTCACTGGTATGGAACAGTCAAGGTCACTGGTATGGAACAGTCAAGGTCACTGGTATGGAACAGTCAAGGTCACTGGTATGGAACAGTCAAGATCACTGGTATGGAACAGTCACGATCACTGGTATGGAACAGTCAAGGTCACTGGTATGGAACAGTCAAGGTCACTGGTATGGAACAGTCAAGATCACTGGTATGGAACAGTCAAGGGTACTGGTATGGAACAGTCAACGTCACTGGTATGGAACAGTCAAGGTCACTGGTATGGAACAGTCAAGATCACTGGTATGGAACAGTCAAGGTGTGATGTGAGTTCCCTTTCTTCAAGAATGTGAGGCATAGCACTCATTACACTCTCTGACATGCACTGGTGTAATTAGAACATTGTCCCCGGTAACCAGTGCTCAATCTGTCATCTGTCAGGGACGTCCACCTCACTCCTATTTCCGCCTTTAATTCCTCACAAACTGCAGGCTAAAGATTTTTTATTAAGATTCATTTATTCAAAAGGGTATGGCTAATACACGGTGACATCCTTTTCCTAATACTGTGACAGGGAATGTATTTGATGTAAGTTTTTCTATTTCAGTGACTAGGAATATGACCTTACATGTATGTGAGTTCTCTAGTACATCGACTAGGAGTGTCTACGATGTCAGTTTCTAGTTCAGTGACATGGAATACAACCTGATGTGAGTTCCCTAGTACATCGACTAGGAGTGTCTACAATGTCAATTTCTAGTTCAGTGACTTGAAATTCGACCTGATGTGAGTTCCCTTTCTTCAAGAATGTGAGGCATAGCACTCATTACACTCTCTGACATGCACTGGTGTAATTAGAACATTGTCCCCAGTGACCAGTGCTCAATCTGTCATCTGTCAGGGACGTCCACCTCACTCCTATTTCCGCCTTTAATTCCTCACAAACTGCAGGCTAAAGGTATTTTATTAAGAGTCGTTTATTTAAAAGGGTATGGCTAATACACGGTGACATCCTTTTCCTAACACTGTGACAGGGAATGTATTTGATGTAAGTTTTTCTAGTTCAGTGACTTGGAATATGACCTTATGTGAGTTCCCTAGTACATCGACTAGGAGTGTCTACGATGTCAGTTTCTAGTTCAGTGACATGGAATACGACCTGATGTGAGTTCCCTAGTACATCGACTAGGAGTGTCTAAGATGTAAGTTTCTAGTTCAGTAACTTGGAATACGACCTGATGTGAGTTCCCTAGTACATCGACTAGGAGTGTCTAAGATGTCAGTTTCTAGTTCAGTGACTTGAAATACGACCTGATGTGAGTTCCCTAGTACATCGACTAGGTCAGTGTCTAAGATGTCAGTTTCTAGTTTAGTGACTTGAAATACGACCTGATGTGATTTCCCTAGTACATCGACTAGGTCAGTGTCTAAGATGTCAGTTTCTAGTTCAGTGACTTGGAAAACGACCTGATATGAGTTCCCTAGACTAAGAGTGTCTACGATGTCAGTTTCTAGTTCAGTGCCTTTAAATACGACCTGATGTGATTTCCC